GTTGTGGTGGAGGTGGGGCATCACCCCCAAAATAAGGGCAGGGTGGGGCAGCACCCCAAAAATGGGATAGGGGTTACCATAGAGAAAGGGCGGCTCCCCAGGATGGGGTCGGGGTGAGCGTAGGGGTGGGACAGCACCCTGAAATGGGCTTGGGGTGATCTTAGAGACACCCCCAAAATGGGGTCAGGGTTACCATGGAGATGCAGCATCCGCCACCGATGCGTTCGAGGGGCACAAATATCACCCCCACGAATCAGCAGGGGCAGCCCCAAAGCCTGGGGCTTCCTGGGAGCACCCTGCCCACCCACGGAGGGCACCCACCCGGCAGCACCCCGGCAACACCCTGCAAACCTCCCTCCCACACCAGCTTTTCACCCTCAGTCGGGGAGATCCCCAGCACAGACCCAGTGACACCCACCCTGCTCAGTGCCAGTGACAACCCCCTGCGTGGTGGCACATCCCTTCTGAGCCGTGTGGGATGGCATCGCCACCCTCGCCGGGCCGGTGCCACGGCCAGAACTGCCGGTGCTGCTGGGCTGGGCAGGGTTTCAGCACGGCAAAAGGGGAGCACCGAGCCTGGCAGGGCCTTTCCTCCTCACCTCCTGCCCAGCAGCCACGAGACACCAGTACATAGAAGCACCTGAGGGTGCCACCAGACGGCCTGTCCTTGTCCCCATCTCATCCCCACCACAGGCATCCCAAAAACTCTCTCCCCAAGGCCTCAGCTGAGCATCCACGTTGTTTTTCAACATGCCACACTCGCTGCGGGGCAAAGGGTGGTCAGTCAGGACTGATGGAGGGGAATAGCAGGCAGGGACCCCCCCTGTGCAGTCAGAGCACAGGCAGCACCCAGCCTCCTGCCTTCCTGCCTGCAGCAAATGGCTCTGCCCGTTGCTGAGCAGCAGCAGAGCTCCCCACTGGATCCCTCTCTCCCTGGCAGATGGATGGAGGCACCGGTGCCACCCGTGGGTGCCGGGCAGGTGCCGCAGGTGCCACGGGGCACAGGGCTGGGTGTGACTGCCGGTGCCAGCACACCTGCTGCACCTTGTCCCTGGGGCAGAGCACAGCTGGCACACTCTGCGAGGTCCTGGCAGCACCCACGGGGGCTTGTGGCATTTTGGGTGGGGGCCACCCGTCCCCCAGAGCAGCCCCACTCCTCACCTTTCCCCACGGCGGAGCAGAAAAGCTGATGGGGGAGGTTTCCCAGGTGCCCTCCCCGCTCCCACCCTGCTCCCTTCACAGTGCCCTGTCTGCCCTGGGCCGTTTTTGAGGTGCTCAAAATCTGTGCTTGAGCTACTGCCACAGCATTTCCACTGGGGCTCCCCAGCATGGGTCAGTGGGTAGCAGAATGAGGCCCACTAGCACAGCTTGGCTGGTTTTGGGGTGTGCAGGGCTGGGAACAGACCCCAGCCACATCACCCCTGTGCCCTGTAGAAGACAGTACCCTTCAGTCCCCTAGGGCATCCCTGGAGAGAGGGGGACCCACCTTGCTGCCCCCATCCTCACCTCTCCCCCCCACCGTTCCCCGGAGCTGGCAGACGCGGTGCCCAGGGAGGCTCTGGGGGGGTCTTACCTCCAGGGGTGCAGGGTTAGTAAGGGGCTGCAGGGGCTGCAGGGGCTCAGCAGCGTCGGGCTCTGGCTGCTCGGAGACAAACTGCAAGGCAAGACGAGCCGGCGCGGCGTCAGCGGGTGCCGGATGGTGCTGGAGGGTCCCCCTGGGGCCGGGGGGGGGGACAGGAGCCAAGAGCAGAGGGGACCAGGGCTGGGGGGCTGCCAGGGGAGTGGGGCAGAGCTGGAGGGGGAACACAGGGGATAGCAGGGACACTGCGGGGTCTAAGGCTGCTGCGGGGAAAGATACCGTGTAGACCACCCGGTACTGTCACCAGGGACTGTCACCGGGGGTCCCTGGCTGTGGGTGCAGGAGGAAGAAGGGCTGGGAGCTACGGCCCGCGGGCGGGGATGCAGCGGGATGGGAATGGACCGGAATGGGAGACGCTCCGGGACGGGGAAGAAGCAGGACTGGGATGCCGAGGGGCCTCGCCGCCCGCCCCCGGGGCCAGTACCGGCACCGGCGCGCCCCGCCCCGGCTCCGACTCACTCCAAGGTCAGCGAGGGGATCTTCAGCCTGTCCCGCCGCGACTTCATCCCTCCGCCGCCACCCCCGCTTTGCTCCCGCTCCGCTCTCGCAGCACCGGCTGCCCCCGCGCTGGGCGGCTCCCGCGGGCGGGCGGCACCGGCGGCCCCGACGGGGCTCCCTGCTCGGCCCGCCGGGCCCGGGCCCGCCCCCGCGGCTCGGCACGGCGCGGCACGACACGGCTCAGCACAGCTCGACAGCCCCCGGGCCCCCGCGAATCCGAGCCGGCCCGCCCGGTGCAGCAGCGGCCCCGAGCCGGAGCGCTCCCGGGATGTGCTGGGGCGCTGCCGCTGCTGAGACACCGCAGCCACAGCACAGCTCCGGTGCAGCCCCAGGGCAGCCCTAACAGCCCCAGGGCAGCCCTAACAGCCCCAGTGCGGCTGCAGTGCATCCCTAACGCAGCCCCAGTGCTGCCCCAGTGCTTCTCCAGTGCATCCCCAGCACACCCCAACACAAAAACCGGTGCAGCTTTGCAGCAGACTCCTACCACACCCCAGCATACCCCAGTACACCCCACTACTGCTTAGAACACCCCAATAACCCCCTCAGTACACCCCAGTACACTCCAATACTGATCAGAACACCCCAACACACCTCAGTGTACCCCAGTACACACAATCGGGTATCAGAGAACACGATGATGCCACCTTGGATTTGGGCACAACAAGCCCTGCTGGCGTTCAACACCCATCCCTGCTGCTGCCAATAGCGCTGGTGCTGTGTCCCCAGGTGTGTCCCTCCTGATGACACCCCACCCCACGCCCCAGGTGGCCCAGCTCAGGGACTTACGCTCTTCCTCGGCGCGGCAGACTCAGCTCTTTCTGCAACAAGAAAAGCAAGAAGCGGGGTCAGAGTGTGGCCCCAGGGATCGGGAGGGTGCCCACATGCTGGACCCTTGGTCCTGCCAGCCACATGGCAGCACCCCTGCTGTCACACCAAGCTGTCACTGCAGGGTCAGTCCCCACTCACCGTGCCCAGGGTGAGGGTGACAAATCACCCTCCCAGGGCCGGCACAAGGGAACATCTCCTTCCAGTGTCCCCAGGGCTGTCCCCACCCCATGGCCAGGCCCAGGAGCGATGGCATGAGGGTGGGAGCAGCACCACACACCCATCTGGAGCAGGGGTGGTGGCTGTGCCATGTCTCCCACCCCGTCCCCCCCATCCCAGGACCGGGGAGCAGCCAGCAGCCCCCGCACTGTTTATTTTTCCAGCCATGGGAATATTTCTTGTGAGAGCTGTTTGCTCGCAGGTGGTGCCACAGGCCAAAGGGCAGCTGCAGGCAGGAACCCAAGCCCGTGCCATCCTCCTGGTGTGCCAGGCACTGTCCAGCTCTGGCACTGCCCTGGTGACCACCTGTGTGCCACTGGGCACACCAGAGTGTCACAGATGCCCCCAGCACGCTGTGTGGATGGGCCAGTGTGTGACCTGGCTCTCTGTGGGGTGCTGGGACATGTGGCAGCTGCAAGTGCTGGTTAATGCCCCATCATTGCCCTTATCCTGTACCCACTGATCCCACACCCCTGAGCAGCTCAGCCCCATTCCTGGCATGGGCAGGCACCTCCTTGAGGGCAGGGGCTGCTGCCACTCATGTGGGGACACCCAGCAGCACCCACACACCCCCCAAACCCCCTTGGGGTGCCCATGCCCCATCCTGCTGCCCACGCCACGCAGCCCCTGTGGAAATCCCGGGATTGGGGCGCTCTGCAACGCAGTGATGCAGCAGCATTGCCATGGCAACGGGTGACATCATGCCTGGGTGCACAGGGACTCGGCAGCCCCGGGGCCTACGGGTGCGTGTCTGCCCCGGGGCGGCGTGGGTGCAGGGAGAGGGTACACGGGGTGGGGGTGGGTGCCCCAGTGCACCCAGTTGCTCTGGGTGACCCCAGGCCTGGGCTGGGCGAGAGGATGTGGGGTCCTTGCGTGGAGCAGGAGTGGGAGCACCTTCACCCAGCCCTGCCAACACCCAGCCCGGATCCCCACCCACACCCAGGGCTGTACCACTGGCCAGCACCCCCCACGCAAGGGTAGGGGCAGGGAAGGGTCACACGGAGGGTTTTACTGTTCAGCCATGTGCAGATGGGACAGTGGGACAGAGGACAGACACCCTTGTGTCCCCCCCGTGCTCACCCCCACCCCACAGCACAGCCTCCCCACCCATCTATAGGTGCAAGAGTAACCTGTGGCACCCGACCCCAACACTCCCAGGGGCTCTCTGATCATGCTGTGTCCCCAGGGACACCCAGAGCATCCCTAATGGCCCTGAGGACCCCGGTGGGGCAGTGCCACAGGCTCAGCACCCACAGCTGGTGGATGTGGACACACATCCAGCACGGCGCGTCTCCCATCAGCAGGTCCCAATGGGAAGCCAGGATTAACCATCAGCTGATCCCTGTGAGGACAGCATTGGGGACAGCATCAAGGATGGCATCAGGGATGGCATTAGGGATGGCATCAGGGACAGCATTTCTGCTGAGCAGTTCAGGATTAGGTCTCCGGTTGGGAGCCCCTTCCCACCCATCCTGCTGTGGGGATGGGGGCACACAGCACAGGTCCCACAGCTCTGCTCTTCCCGGGACTGCCAGGAGCGACCCCCAGAGCCAAGAGCCCCTCAGCCCACGGCCGTGGCTCTGTCCATCCCCACCCGTGGGCAGGTAGCTCCCGGGCAGGGCTGTCCCCGGGCCGAGTGTGCAGCGGAGCGCAGCTGCCCGAGGAGCTGCCAGCTCGGATGAAGGCAGCGCCGTGCCATCCTCCAACCGCCCCGACAGCTCTGCCCGGGCCCCCCGGCAACTGCAGATGGGGATGGAGGCGGGAGGTCACCCGGAAAATCCGGCTCAGCACTCAGCAATGTGAGCCTGGGGGCTCCGTGGTCATGACCTTTCTGAGCACGGATTCCTGAGGGATGCAGGAGAGTGGGTGTCCCTCAGCCTGGGGAGCACGAGCACAGGGCGGTGGAGGGGGCAGCTGTTCAGAGAGGTGGTTCGGCATGGACTGGGTTCGTGTGCTGGGCTGCAGGCACCACAGTGCTCCCGTGGGAGCCCCCACCCAGTTGGGTGCCCCCCACCAACATCCCGTGGCGTGGCTGGGCTCACACCCTGCCCTGCTGCCGGCACTGGGTGCCCGGCTCCTGTCCCACCCGTCACACACTGCTCACACACAGCACCCACCTCTTGCCCCCGCAGCACCCACCTCTCACACACAGCACCCACCCCCCCCCACACACACACACCCCCACTCAGAGCACCCCACTCCCACGTGAGGCACCCACTTCTTGCACACACCCCCACGCGGAGCACCCATCTCTGGCTCACAGCACCCGCTCCTTGCACACACAGAGCACCCACCTCTCACCCGCAGCACCCACTTCTTTGCACACGCAGTACCCACTCCCCGCGCACCCAGAGCACCCGCTGCTCACTTACAGCACCCACCTCTTGCGCACCCGTGGCCCACAGCACCCACCTCGCGCCCGCAGAGCCCACCTCTTGCCCACCCACACCCGGAACAGCCGCCTCTCACTCAGAACGCCCACCTCCCACCCGGAGCACCCGCCTCTCCCTCGCGCAGCACCCACCTCTTGCACACCCGCGCCCCGAACACCCACCCCCCCAACCCACGAGCTCCCGCCCCCTGCGCCCCCGCAGCGCCCACCCCTCGCAGACCCCCTCGCCGCGGGCTCACCGGGATAACCGCGCTCCCCGCTCTCCCTCCCGCCCCACGCCCCGCCGGTGCCGGTGCCCGCTCGCCGCGCCCGGTGCCCGGTGCCCACCTGGAGACCCCGGCGCCGCAGGATGCTGGGCTCGTCCATCCCGCCGCGCCGCCGCCGCCGCCTCCCGCTGCGCCCGCTCCGCCCGGTGCGCCCGGTCCGCCCCGCCGGTGAGCCCGGGGCGCCGCCCAGCGGCCCCGCCGCGTCACCGGACGCGCATCAGCACCGGCACCGGGGCCGGCACGGCACGGAATGGGGCTGGCACGGCTCAGAATGGGGCTGGCACGGCTCAGAATGGGGCTGGCACGGCATGGAGCTATCACAGCACAGAACTGGCATGGCACGGGGCTGGCACGGCACAGAATGGGGCTGGCACGGCATGGGGCTGGCACAGCATAGAACTGGCATGGCATGGCATAGCATGGCACGGGGCTGGCACGGCACAGAATGGGGCTGGCACAGCACAGAACTGGCATGGCATAGCGTGGCACGGGGCTGGCACGGTACGGCACTGCACGGCATGCGGCTGCTGTGGTGGCACAGGACTGGCATGCTACGAGGCAGGCACGGCACGGGACAGAGTGGGACTGGCACAGTCTGCCTGGCTTGGTCCAGCTCAGCGCAGCCCAGCATGGCAGGGTCTGGCATGGCGTGGCACAGTGTTGGCACACAGTGGGGCTGGCAGGGCATGGGGCTGGCACGGCACAGAATGGGACTGGCACGGCATGGGGCTGGCACAGCATAGAACTGGCATGGCATAGCATGACACAGGGCTGGCACAGCGTGGGGCTGGCATGGCACAGCATGGCACGGGACTGGCAGGTGGGGCATGGAACGACATGCAGCTCTCACATGGCATGGGACTCTCGAGGTATGGGGCTGACCTGGGGCTGGCATGATATGGCATGGCACAGGGCTGTCACAGCATGGCATGCAGCTGTCACGACACAGGACTGGCACAGCACGGGGCTGGCATGGCACAGTACAGTCTGGGACTGGCCCAATCTCCCTGGCTTGGTACAGCTCAGTACAGCCCAGCATGGCACAGTCTGGCATGGCGTGGTATAGCACATTATGGGGTTGGCACAGGGCTGGCACCATCTGCCTGGTTCAGCACATCCCATGGTGGCACAACAGATCATGGGACAGCCCAGGACTGGCACAGTCTTCCTGGCTTGGCACAGCCCAGCATGGCACGGCCTGGGGCTGGCACAGTGGGCACTGGTGGGAGCTCAGAGTGGTCCAGCCCAGATTTCTCCTGGTTGCCACAGCACAGCACAGCATTTATGACCTGAGGCAGCACTGCCCAGTACAGCCCAGCATGGCATGGCACAGCCCAGTCAGACGTGGCATGGTCCAGCATGGCACAGCTTAGTGTGGCACGGTACAACATGACCTGGCCTGGTTGAGTATGGCCTGGTTCAGCATGGCACGGCAGAGCCCAGTACAGCCCAGTCTTGCTGCCTGTTGTGGCACAGCAAGGCCCAGCATGGCCCAGTTCAGCACAGCACAGCTTGGTGTGTACCCCCACCCCGGTGGGCAGCACAGGGAGGGCACACAGGGACGCCGGAGGTGCCAGGGGGCCCTCTGTGCACCCATCCCGGCCGTGCCCACGCTGTCCCAGCACAGGGACACTCCCGCCACCACTGCCCTCCAGCCCCGAGCGAGCTCCACACAAGGAGCCGCTTTCTGCGGGAACAAGGGGACTCTGTGCGCGGCCCTCGGTGCCACCCGGCTCCACCGTCCCGGGGTCACCCGCCCGTCACACGGCTGCTGGTGCCCCGGTGCCACCGCGCTCTCCTGCCTCACTGGGGCTTTGTTCGCGGCGCAGGGAACGAGCCGTGCCGGGAACAAGCACAGCAGCCAGGTTTGGAAACACCACCCCCCCCCTCCCCAAAGAACCCCGGGCAACCCCAGCTTTGGAGATTCGCCCAGTTACGGGCAGAGAGGATCAAAACCACGCTGTGAAGTTTGAAAAAAAAAAAATTAAAAAAAAAACACCAACCCAACCAAAAACCCCAAGACTCATCTTTCGCTTACCTTGCGCTTCTGGCCGTGCCGGGGCACGTGGCGCAGCCAGGACATGCGGTGCAGCCGCGGGGCAGGGCCGGCCCCATCCCGGCAGCCGTGCCGGCGAGAAAAAGCGGGATATTTTGCACTGCTTTCTCTTTTGTTTTTAGTAAAAGTGAGGCAGGCACTCACGTCTCACGCTCCGACCTGCCTGGGAACGGCCGCCCTTCGGCAAGGTCTGAGCAGAAGAGGAAACAGCGGGTGCGGGAAGCTGCGCTGAGCACCGGGGCTGCCGCCGCGCCTGAGAGGGGCACCCACTGGGTGCTGGGGGATTGGGTAGCCAGGAAGGGCAGGGAAGCCCCGAATCCGGTGTAGGACACTCAAGGTGGGCGATGCTGGGGTGGCTGCTGGCGGCGCTGGCGGCGGGCGGTAAGTGCTGCTGCTTGCTGCGGTGCTGGGAGATGAGAGATAACTTCAGAAGACTTTCAATGAGTGATTCGGGGGCGATAAGGCCCGGGGAGGTGGTGCTGCAATGGAGACGCTCACCCATAACCACAGGGATGGAGTAAAGGCGGTGAATCCCCGCTGGCAGCGGGCAGGGCTGGGGTGAGCGGCACCAGCATCACTGGGGATGGGGGGAGTGGGGGGTCTTGGTGAGAATCGCTCGTGTGGCTGCTCCAATACCCCGTTTGAGCAGCGTGGTGATCAGGCAACATCTACAGCGCTGCTCCCTCGGTGCACGGGAAAGGCTATGGGATGTTGGAGCCCCCAGACACTGCCCTCCACCACAAGCACCGTCACCTCCCAGAACTTCTCCTGCTGGAAGAAATGCAGCTCCACCAACTCTTTCCACTGCTCCTGGTCTCCCCTTGGCCCTGCTGGCAACACCTCCTACACCCTGAACCTCTGGTGAGTTGGGCACTGTGGAGGGGGAGCCCATGGGACGTGTCCTGCCTCGCCCGGGTTCGACCCCGTGCCCGCTCCCTCCCCAGCTCCAATAGGTGCTGCAAGTATGACGCAGGCAAGATGACAAACTACAAACTGCCACATCGCCAACTGCACATCTTCATCAGCACTGTGGCCTGGGTGGAGGCAAGCTGGGAGGGCCACATCCACAGGACCCCCAACATCACATTTGTCTTCAACGAGGCTGGTAAGTGCCTGTGGGACCAGGCTGGGTGCCAGCACTGGGGCCAGTAGCTGCCAAAACCACTCAAAACGACATTTTTTCAGAGAAACCAGATCCACCTCCCACCCGGGTGCCCTTCTCCAAGACTGGCAGCCAGCTGAGGCTGCGGGTGCCACGGCCACAGTGCCGTGCCACGGACCAGCCAGCACAGCGGGAGGCTCGATCCTGGAGGGCAGGAGACAGCGGCTGGACACAGGTAAAACACTGTTTGCTGGAGCCAGGACAGTTGGGAGCACTGTGGCAGCCCGGTGAGTGTGGGGGCTCGGTGATGTCACTGTCCCCCCCTCCCAAACCCAGCTGTGCCCCATCTGTTTCGCTGCATTATCGGCTCTGCCTCATCTTCCGGCCATGGGATCCTCCTGCTTCCCATAACAGGATCAGGCCGTGATTTGCAGGGATTACACGGGCAAAACCCCAGATTATACTAATGACGACAACAGATGAAAGCTGGAGGCTTGTCCCCAGTGAAGCCCCCGCAGCTGGGGACCCCCTGCTCTTCTCAATTGCTGCCAGGAGGGTCCCAGGGTTGAAGAGGGGCTACCCCAACCAAGGAGACCCCTCAAGGCACTGTGTCCCCTCCATTTGGTTCTCCCAGCCCCTGGGATGATTGCAGATCACACTGATGGTCCAGTAACATGCTGGTTTTAATCTGAGGGCATCTTCATTCCTCTTCCTCTCTACAGTTGGAATGTACGACTGTGATGGTGAAAAATGAAGATGACTCAGGTTGGTTTAGCCTGTGGGGATGCTGGGGACAAGCATCTTCTGGGGGTATTCCCAGGTTCTGGCAGAATGCTCTGCCCTGTGCTCTCCCCCAACACCCCACAATGACCAAAAGCTGGGGAAACTTGACCCTGCCACCCCTCTCTAGTGAACTGTACCCTGAAGGGAAACGGCACCTTTGTGGTCCAGCTACGGCAAAAGACCTCGAACAGCTACTGGAGTGACTGGAGCAGCAACATCTCTGTTCCTGAGGGTGAGGAAGAGGAGGGGAGGCTGGTGGGATCCCAACAGCTCCCAGAAATGTTGATAGCTCAGTCAGGCTTGTCCCTCCTGCAGAAATCCTGGAGAGCCCAGTGCTGAGCCACCAACTGGAAAAACTAGGAAGAGATGGGCAGCGGGTGCTGAGGCTGAGCTGGCAGGTACAGCAGCATCCGTGAGGACCCTCCTGAGTTTTCCCCCCCCACCATTTCACCCCCCACACTGTCCACTCTCCTTCCCCAGCCAGTCCTCAAGGGGCAAAGGGATGTCAACTACACACTGCACACCCACATGCCGGCGTGTGGCTGTGATGGGCTGGACGAGGAGGACATGGTGGTGCTGGGGTGGGAGGTGAGGGAGCACCACCTCACCCTGTCTGGGGCTGAATACGAAATCCAGCTGAGGGCCATCAATGCGGCGGGGCCGGGGCCGGTGTCGCGGCTCCACGTACCGGCAGAGGAGCACGCAGGTACCTGTCCCACCAGAGGGCTGAGCTCCCCTGGCAGCCCCTCAGGGAGTTATTATTTCCAGCTATCCCTCACACCCCGCCCCTGTTTCACCCCAGATCTCAGCTTCAAGGACGTCAGCGTGGCCGGCAGCGCTGTGACGGCGCGGTGGGAAGCACCAACCCCGGGCGAGGCCTATTGCTTCGAGCAGCAGGTCCTGGCAAAAGCCCCACAACAGGGCGTCTGCATCCGAGAGGAATTCCCTGCCAAGAGCATCCACGTGGAGGAAGGCAAGGCAAGCACCCCTAAGCCCCCCACCTGGGGGCTCAGAGCTCGGTGGGGGTCTAACCAGTTTGTTCCCCAGGAGCACTGGGAGCGCTGGCGTGTCATCGCCTCGCCGTGCACGGCTGGGACCCGGACAGGGGCTGGGCCACCTTCGCCCTGTGGCACCACTACACCAGCAACGGTAAGTGTGGGAGCACAGCACGTCAGTGCCTGGCTTAACTCCAGA